TTATACCCAAGCCTGGTAGAAATGGCCATATAGCAGCCAAAGATTTCAGACCGATCAGTCTCACTTCCTTTGTACTGAAAACACTGGAGAGACTGGTCGATAGATATCTGAAAATTGGCCCTCTGCTAGCACATCCGCTGTCTCCGGCTCTGTACGCCTACAGAGAGAGCAGATCAACAGATACTGCTTTGCACCATCTCGTGGGCGGAGTCGAAGTGCAGTTGGAAGCAAAGGGATATGCCCTGGGCGTCTTTCTGGACATAGAGGGAGCTTTCGATAGCACTTTATATGATGTCATCAGGGAAGCAATGACCGGGCATCACATTCCCGCTGCTCTAGCAGACTGGACACAAAGCATGCTAACAGGAAGAACCCTGACTGCCAATCATGGGGACTCAAGTGTGCATGGTTTCCCCGCAAAAGGATGCCTACAGGGAGGAGTTTTATCTCCCCTGCTTTGGTGTCTGGTCGCGGATGAACTTCTACGAGAATTACAGAAGAAAGGCTTCCTCGTCTTTGGTTACGCTGATGACGTGGCTATTATAGTGCGGGGTAGTTTTCTTTCAACACTTAAGGAGACTATGCAGAAAGCCCTTAAGATCATGCAAGACTGGTGTCAATCAAAAGGACTTAAGGCTAATCCACTAAAGACCAAGGCCATGATTTGCACCAGGAAATACAAACCTGAAGCCATTGAGCCGCTTAGACTCTGGCAAAAAGATATAGAATACGTCCAGTCAGTAAAATATTTGGGAGTCCACCTAGACACCAAACTGAATTGGAAAACACATCTCGATATAAAGAAATCCAAATTCTACGCCTTGTATTGGGCGTGTAGAAGAGCAATGGGAAAATCCTGGGGTATGAAACTAAATACTGCCCTATGGATATACAAAGCGATACTTGTACCGAGGTTAACGTATGCTGCTGTTGTTTGGTGGCCCAGAGTGGAAAAGATGGAGTCAAAGAACCTACTAAAAAGCCTACAAGGTAATTACTTGAGGGCTGCGGTAGGGATTATGAGAACGACACCAACAGAAGCGCTGGAAGTGGCACTCTGCATTCCATCTCTAAGATTGCCCATCATCAGCGCTGCCAAACTCACAGCATATAGACTAAGGTGTCAGGGGGAGTGGAGAGATTTCGGTGTAGGTCATACTAGGCTCGAGTTTCTTCACAAACCTCCCTTTACCTTAAAGCAAGATAGAATATCCAGAATACGCCAAGTGGACAAGGCGTTCTCCATAAACTTGACCACCAGGGCGGACTGGAAAAATAAAAATCTTCAGATCCAGCCGGGCACTCATGCATGGTTTACTGATGGATCTGGAGCAAACGGCTGCTATGGAGCAGGCATCTACTGTCCAGGATTAAATCACAGAGAGTTTTTCTTTTTGGATAAATTGGCCACGGTCTTTCAAGCGGAAGTCCTGGCCATTCTGGAATGTGCAAGACTCCTACTCTCAAGAGAGACAAAAACTAGGAGGATCAATATCTATACGGATAGCAAAGCAGCCATAGGAACTTTTGCCAAGACCACCACTGAATCTTTAGTGGTTTGGGACTGTATGCAAGCTCTAAACAAATTGGGCGAGCAAAACAACATCACGCTTGTCTGGGTACCTGGCCACCAAGGTATCCAAGGAAATGAAGTGGCTGATAGTCTGGCAAAACTGGGAACCTTGGAGGAACCAGTCTGCCAGAAAGTTGGAGTTCCCTTTGCGACAGGGAAAAACCATATCAAGAACTGGCTGAAAAGGGAGCACAGGATTTCTTGGGAGATACTGAAGAGCTGCCGCCAAGCTAAGGCCCTGATGACTCAGCCATTGCCAGGTAAGACCAAAGAACTACTGACAATGAGTAAGTACAGACAAAGACTGTGCATAGGTCTCCTCACAGGGCATTGGGCCTTCAAGGCACATTTATTCAACTTAGGCCTAGTTGAGGAGAGTAGTTGTAGATTTTGTAGTGAGGAGGAGGAGGACAGCGTGCACATATTGTGTCGCTGCCCGTCTCTGGCACTCAAGAAATTCAGATTTTTGGGCTCCATGTTTGTGGAGCCCGAGGACCTGAAAATAATTAAAATCGGCCAACTGTGTAGCCTGGCAGCAAATGCCGGGTTTTAGCAGCTTGGTCGATTAACAACTAGCGGGAGTCGCAGAGGATCTTAGAGATCTAGGTGACAATAGGGTCTCACAAGCCCCCCGCTTTTCGTCATCTATCTATCTATCTAATATCAAGAATTATAACATCTTACAATATGACATTTTCATGAATACATAATTAATAAATTGGATAACATAAATCATTAGATACATTTACTCAATATAACTTTAATCAATAGTGTAAACATCAATAATTGAATTATTACATTTGCAAGTTATGTGCTAATGCCTTCACAAAATTTATTTCTGTGTATGTTTCCCGATTTTTTTCTAAAAAAATGAAAAAGTAATGAAATAAAAGTATTAATGTCAATTTCTATAATAATTCATCTTATATGTTTATTTGTTATCATAAACATTGTCGGCGAAGCTCGATGTCAATGAAAACATTATCGGTGAAATGATTGTCGATGATCTAAACGTGTCGGTAAGTAAATATTGTCGGTGAAATGCGATGTCGATGAAATGGTGTCGGTGAAACGATTATTGATGAAATGATTGTCAGTGAAGTAAAGGTAACCCGTTTCGACTTACTTCACAATATAAAAAAGATCATCCTGAAACACACATTGTTTACACGCGCGGACAAAGGTAACGCGACTGTTGCGTTGATAAATCTACTTACTTGGAGAAAATTAATTGAATGCTAAATGATGAGACTACTTACACTTTAATAAACAAAACCCCTATTAAAACCATTGAGAATAGACTAAACACTTTATTAAAAAATTGGGTTAAAAAAGATTATATTAATGATTCATTATATAAGATAATCAGATCTAGTGATGGATGCATGTCTAGAGCTTATGGCTTATTTAAGATTCATAAATCAGGCATTCCTTACAGGCTGATTGTCTTCTATTGGAAGCCCATTACATTCGTTTGCTGAATTTTTACATAAGATTATTTATCAAAATATTCCGACAGCGTCCAGCAATGTCTATAATAGTTTTGAATTTGTCAAAAGGGTTAAAAAACTTAAATTGCAACATGATCACGTGCTTTTGTCCTTGGACAAAATGTAATCTCTTTGTTTACAAATATTCCGATCGAATTGACGTTGAAAAGTTTAAAATTACGCTGGAAATACATTAGAAATAAAACAAGGATACCTTTGAGCGAATTTTTGTTAGCTGTTGAGTTTTTATTGACTTCTACTTATTTTGTTTTTGATTCGAAAATCTACCGACAAACTTATAGAGTGCCAATGGGATCTTCTCTTTCTCCCATCTTTGCAGATATTGTTATGCAGGACTTGGAGACTTCGACTTAAAAAAAAAAACTACCTTTTAAACTATCTTTTTATTATAGATACGTTGATGACATTATTATGACAGCTTGTCTTGATAAACTGCAATATATTCTAAACACTTTTAACGCTTATAACAAAAGATTACACTTTACTATGGAGATCCAAAATAACGACTCTTTAAGCTTTTTAGATACTAAATTAATTGTTGATGTTAATAAAAAGATCTCCGTGGATTGGGTCTATAAAGAAACTTTTTCGGGAAGATATTTAAACTTTTTTTCGGCACATCCTCTCTCCCAAAAAATAGGTACAATCATAGTCATGGTTGATAGAGTTTTTTTGTTATCCGACTCTATTTTCCATAAGAAAAACTTGAAATTTATAAGTGAGATTCTTGTCATGAATAACTATCCTTTGGACTTTATTTTTAAAATTGTTAACAATCGCGTTAAATTTTTGAATAACGTTAATCTGACATCGGAAGAAAATACATCCCTCTCATCTTTGTGTATAGGTAATAACAAAAAAAGATTTTTTATTTTACCTTTTATCAAGGGACTGTGTGACTCTCTCTCGATATTTATTAGAAACAGAAACGCACATACAAATAAACGTAAAAAAACTGTTATGGATATCTCATTAGCATATAGAAGTCTTAACAAGCTCAACAAATTTATAACAGCCTTAAAAGACCCTATTGTCCACGATAATAATAAAACTCTTGTAAATAATACTTGAAATATCGGTCTCTATCGAGCAACAAAAAGGATTTTGTAGTTTATTAAAATAAAATATAAGATATAAAATTTACATAAATGTAATTAAATTAGACGTTTCGGCCCTTACTTGAGCCCTCTTCAGTATAAAAAACAACATAACGCCATATCGCAGAGAAGATAACAAAATGATGTAAAAAATATATAAATCTTACATATGACAGTCCATTTTGATGTAATATTGGACTTCCTGAAAAAATTAATGTAAGTAAAAAGTCCGCACAAATTTCACAATAACAATATAAAACGTTATGATATAAACTCACAAATCAGAAGTCGAAGATCATATACTGAACAGAGGAAAGAGGCAACAGATTATATATACAGAAATCCCCACCAACATAGTAAAACGAATAAGTCAGTTAAGTTTAAAATTCGGATGATTTTAGTTTGTCAAGTAAGTTAAAATAAGAATGGTCAAGTAAGTCTGTGTCATTAATTAAATTTAAACCTAGAGTCTGTTCTTTAATATGTATAGTTTCGGAAATAAGTCTTTTGTAAAAGTTAGATTCATAATCTAAAATTTTTATATTTTCCCAGTCAAAATTATGATCAAAATCAAGTCTATGTTTTGAAATAACCGACAATTGTGAGGAGATTATTTTGATGTAATTTTTATGCTCTTTTATGCTCTTTTATGCATAAAGAGCATAAAAATTTTTTCACCATCAACATTTTTTTGCTGATTATGATTTAAAAATGTTAGATTTATACAAAACAAGTTTATCTTACATGAGACAGCATCCTGAAGTAATCTTTACGCGAGCAGATAAAGGTAATATTACAGTGGCTATGAATAGAAACGAATATATTATAAAGATGAGAGAATTATTAAATGATAAAGCAACCTATGAAAAGATAGAACGGAATCCTATCAAACGTATTGAATGTCGCCTCAATGAGTTATTAAAACGATGGCTGATACGCGGTTACATAGAAAATACAACTTACTATCGCTTGAGATCTAGTGATGGTTTATTACCTAAAGCATATGGTTTACCAAAGGTCCATAAAAAGGACATACCGCTGAGGATTATTGTATCTTCCATCAACAGCTCTCTCTATTCTCTCTCGTCTTTTTTACACAAGATTATTCTAAAGAGCCTTCCTGTAGCTAGAAGTAATGTTATCAATAGTTTCAGACTTTATGAACGTCTTTCTACTTTTGAACTCAACGATGAAGATATTTTATTGTCCTTGGATGTTGTCTCATTGTTCACCAATACTCCGATCAACTTGGCTATTATTGGTTTAAAAAATAGATGGTCGTACATCTCTAAGAATACTAACATCCCCTTAGACGAATTTTTAGATGCTGTCTCTTTCATTCTTTCGTCTACTTATTTTACATTTGACGATGTTATCATAAACATTGTCGGCGAAGCTCGATGTCGATGAAAACATTGTCGGTGAAATGATTGTCGATGATCTAAACGTGTCGGTAAGTAAATATTGTCGGTGAAATGCGGTGTCGATGAAATGATGTCGGTGAAACGATTATTGATGAAATGATTGTCGGTGAAATAAAGGTAACCCGTCGAAACTTGTGAAAGAGTTGCTTGTCAAGATAGCTAATTCTCAGAGAGGAAATCAACGAGTTATTTAATAGAGAGATAAAATGTGATCTAATAGAATCTTTAGATTTTATATAAAAAAACTGAAGGTTATTTTTACCATCCTTAATGACTTCCAATAAGTTCCTTTTATAATGTAAAAGAAAACTAAAATTTTCTCCAAGTTGAAGCAAACTAGTAACCTCATTTGGAATATGTTGAGAACTCAAATTAACGAACCACTTGTCTCTAATGTCAAAAAGAGAGAAATTAGTCATATTTATAAATTCTTTAGGATGAATAAATATATTAGTCACACAAGTGGTTTTTGGTTTATGGTCAATAAAAGAATGTATCGTCCGAGTATGTAAGTCAGTAAGAAAATACGAAATTGGTTTTGTAGTATCAATTGTTTTTTTTAAATTATTATTAATAATTTTATTTATCTTATTATTAATATGTGAAAGGTCAGAAAAATAAAATTTTTTAAAATTAATGGTCTGTGAAATAAAAAAGTCATTGAGTATGTATATCTTTTTAACAGTGATCTTTCTATTCTTATTCTAGTATTTTTTGACATATCATTTTCTATAGGCATCATTTGGGATTATTACTTGAACAACCACTAATAACTTATTGATGTGCAATCTTTTTTGTATTTTCCGCGGTGAGTTTTTAAATGTGATTTTGACAGTTTTTTACTCATTACATCTTATGAATGGAAGTTTTTTTCTTTTTTGTATTAATTTTTGTTGCAAAAAAATACCGAATTTTTTTGTATTACTATCTTTATTTTTTGTACAGTGTTTTACCACTGATGAAGATCCAATTCAAGGATCGAAACGTTTGGTAATTTAATAAATTGATTCAAACACACGTCCACCTGATGATTTTTCGTATTGGCCTTAATCTTTTAGGTGATTTTCTCACGAGGATATTTATTTCTTTATTTGTACATGTATTATTGCTAATATATGTGTACATAGAAATTAGTATAATTTTTTATTCAAGTTGCATATATGAGTACAAAAAGATTATGAACTGAATGTCAGTAAACATTTTATATTACACAGAAAATTTTACATATTACTGAAGTACTCACAAAACGCTGTACAGTATCGACCGTCAAAATCTACAACGAAAACTCGGATAAACGTGAGACAGCGATTAGTCCATTGCACTCATAGAGATACAAAGTACAATACATCTTTATTTCTCTCTCTCTCTCTCTCTCTCTCTCTCTCTCTCTCTCTCTCTCTCTCTCTCTTTCTTTCTTATATATATATATTATATTACAGATCTGTCAAAAGTGTGTTTGCACGCCTATGATACTCGGTAAACAAAGTGTTAATAATTTGCATCCTGAATGATATTCGAGCA